TCATAGGCATTGATTACAATGGAAGAGACCAGGGAAGCGAGAATACGAGAAGCGAGAATACCAAAGCCAACCCCCATGGAAGTGACTGCAACAAGGAGTAGAGAGAATCAACCTGTTTTACTGCTACTGGAGCTAAATTGCATCTAGGACAATAAAATCTGACCCTGGAATCTACAACAACCAGCAGAAGAGAGAGATTGCTGTACTCTGAACAACCCACATGTTTTTTGTGGTAATTAGATCCTTAAAAAAAAAAAAAAAAGTATACTTGGGAGTTTTAGAAGTTGTAAATATATAAATCATTGTGCCTAACTCAAAACCCAGTAACCGATCATCAGATCTGGAGGGCAGAAGGAACTAGGTGCGACCATGGCTATTCAGAGAACTAGAAGCAGTAAAGAGTCATGGTGAACATGTTAATGTACTGCATAGCATACAGCAAGGCAAATGCCCTCAGTGGAACATGATATTATAGACTTAGTGAGTTCTTTGAAGTACTTCCCACTCTGTCATCTGCATCATATGTCAGTCTTTCAAGGATTCAGCTGCTATCAGGTTGTGCATCAGTTGAACAACTCAGCCACGCCGTGGAGTACTGTAAGTCAGTGCTAACAGAATATGATGCATGAGATATAGAATTAGGTGTCCTCTAAGTTAGCGTGTCCATTTTAGTCCATGTTTGTTTCACAATCTCCCCTTAGTGCAATATAGAAATATGAACTGAACAAAATGGGGTGATACAGAATCCCTTTGACAACTCTGGAGGTGGAATAACAATTGTCCATATGGTAGCTCTCTACATGGCGATTACACTTCTCTGACAGTTCTCATATGCCCTGTTGCATATTTCTTCCCCACATCAGGGATGCAATGCCGTGTCATATTAATATATGGTATTAATTCATGTCCAAGACCTGCCATTCTAAAGTGTCCTTTACGCTAAGCTTCTGCTGCTGAGGTCATTACTCCTGCCAGCTCTCTCTTATGACAAGTCAACCTTAGCACCAGTTTTTTCTCCATATCTCACTTTTCTGACATTCTCACACAACCCAAGCAACCTTCATGAACCTTCACTGGATATGTATTTAAGCAAGTCGGCCACAGAACTTGTTTCTCAACTTGTTCCACTGTTTCTAGGTAGGACAAACCCTCAAGATCAGAATAGAATATATACATAAAATTCCTGTTGCAATACAGAAAGAAACAACTTACAGTTTTCTAGTTTTAGCAGTTGTCACAGCCAATAAGCTTTTGCTTTGTATGCAAGTAGAAGGGTCATCATGTTTAGAAGGAATGACCAAGGCAAGCTGCAACAACTCCTTGCATCTGGAAGTGATGGACTGAAAATTTTGGAACATTCACAACACAAAAGTACCATCACCTTAATAATAATAGCTAAATTAGAGACGAAAGTAATGTAACTGATGAAGCAGGTAATTAAATCTCAAAGTCCTCTTTGCATTCTGCTTTAGTCTCCTCAGGGGGCTCCTACTCCCTTCCATGTACTGGAGCATTTTCCATGCAAAGTAAGAGATAAGAACAGAACGTGGTGGATTCTATTGCACATGGTAGAATGTGCGGGTGCGGGCAGTGGGAACAAGGCTCGTCAAAAAACCCTCGCAAAGAGCAGATTTTACCAGGTAACTTTTCAACTTGCAAGGTGCTTTTTACACTGACATTGAAATGGACATTAATTTAGTGGGAGAGGACCCTGATCTTTCCTTCTCTCTCATTTTGTGTGTTGATATAATGGAATACTGGTTTCAAGCAACATCATTTACCTTTAAGTAATTCCAGTGGTGAAGAATCTTTTCTTGCTATCCTGCACTTCCCAGCCCAGACTGGGGCTAGTGTTTTCCTGCCCACTCCCTGTAGCAATCATCACTAGATTAAGGAATGGAAAGGGAGAAAGATTTTTTTTTGAGATGAGGGGTGGGGAGGGCATTTTAGGGGGAACACACACACACACACACACACACACACACAGATTTTCAGAGATTAGAACAGTACAGCTACTGGAATGGTGTGACAGTGCTGGAGAGAGTTATCCAAGTTGTCTTATTTTACAGTTCCCCAGGGTCAATTTTACACTGAATTAAAAGAGGCTGGCAGCCCAAGTGCATTTATGCTTAAAAGCAGGAAGTTTCCCTACTGTAATTATCACCATTACCACCTTGTTGTTGGACTTCATCATGCTGTAGTTTCTATATTGGTTGTTGTACACCAGATCCAAAAATCTCATTAACATGTTTACACAGGGAATGACTGGCAGAGAACCAGAACTGCTTGGAAAACCATTCTGTAATCCTTCTCTCATTGAAGTCATGGAGAATTACAGCTGTTTATCTTTGACAGTGAATCCTCTAAGATGAGCAAATAGGGAAGGGGTAAGGAAAATGATAATTAAGAAGGAATGCAAAAAGGAACAAACTGAAAAAGATTACTTGGAAAATAAGGCATGAGAGAGTTTATATACAAAAAGAACTAATGGAGGAAAGGGGAGAGGGAGGATAAAAACTTGGATTTAAAAAGAAATTAAAAAAAAAAAAGGGGGTGGGGTGAAAAGGGAGGAGGAGAAAGAAGAAAGCAGCAAAAGGACACTGATGTAATTGGTGTCTCTCTCAGCTAGAGAAATGACCTGTCAGGTAGGTCTGAGCTCTAGAAAGCCAGAAATGACACATGCACTCAGCACTGAAAATGAGAGCTTTATGAAAAAAGCCTCTTGATCTTCAGACAGGCAGTTTCAGAGAATAAAATGTTGGCAGCTGAAACTCCCTCCTCCCACAACCAGAAGATATATAAAAGCAGTGAAAGAAGAAACAACAATTAGAAGCTTAAGAAACCCCTAAAAGGTACAGGGAATCAAAAGGTTAAAAAAAAAATGTTCCAGTCACTGCATGGTGGCCTGGGAAGTTGGGGAGAGGGAAGTGTGTCAGAACTGCTTACGAGTTTTATGTGGAAAGCAATGGCACACAGGAGCTCTAACCTGTATTGTCATTCCTACCTCTGCTCAGTGACTGCATAGCAACTGTGAAACATGGAGGTTTAATTTTTTTCCTCCTTTGGGTATAGACCTAAATTATTGCCTATTGAAAAATCCTACAAAGACATTCCATAATACTATGTAATACCATTCCTGAACTTTATGGGCAACAAAAATCTGACTTTAACACCTCCCCCCCAACCACACATGGATGCATAGGGTCTCTCCATGGATCTGTGAAGAAGGAAAGCAAGGTGATTATAATGCGAGTATTAGCGGCGGATGTTAAATTTCAATTTCATCCTGTACTCCGACAGATTAACTTATTGGAAAAATTGATTTCTCCCTGGTTTCCTCTTTGCTGCTGATGCATTCAGAAGATTATGTGCATTTAGCTGCTAAGGCTGATTACATAAGAAAGAAATCATGTACAGTAGGTATGTATGCATAAACTGAACAAAGATATTAATTACAGTACAATATTACTTAGACAAAACAGTTTGAAACTTGCCTACAAATATTTGTAGTCATTGTTAATAAATAAGATTCTAATATCTCAGCACTACCTTTACACTATCCTCAACTGCTGCTTTCTACAGTGCCTAGACATAGAAGAATCCATCTCAACTATAACGTAAGAGTAGTTTGGCTAGAACTCTTAACATTAGCCAAGTAAAGCTTGTTTTTTCTGATACACAATAGAACTTAAATCATTTCTGAAAAAAGCATTATATGCTCAAGTAATGCAGGCTTTTTCACCCCCCTTTACATCATTTTACCCATGTAGTCCCCAGTGTCTTTGCCCACCAGTTTTGCCACGGATGGCCAACAGGAAGGGAAAAATAAAAAAAAATTAAAAAAAGTGAGAAAGCTCATTAAATTCTCTCCTTAATCTTGACCATCTGTGTAGCACCAAGCATACAAGACAATACCCAAGAAATTATATACGCATTTCGCATCTTTAAATTTTCTTACCCGACCTCTGCTCAGTCAGTCAACAGCACTAACACACCAGCAACTTCAGCCTTATTTATTTATTTATTTTTTTAGCACAACTGCCATATTTATAGTTAACATGGGTCATCTCAACTAAGAGCACCATTTGCAGGTGGCAAGATATGAAAAATAGTATTTTATGAAGCTAGATACCTTAGACCTTCTTTCTGAAACAGTGATTCTCAACCAAAGTGCCATGGCACCCTAGGGTGCCATGAGATCAAATGCAAGGAGATAAGCAGATAAAGGCAGGCTCAGGCACTCCTTGCCTGCCTGCTCCTCCACCCTCACTGCCTGGTCTTTCTGCAAGGAGGTAAGCACTGTAATAAATAAACTAATTTTTTAAATAGGTTGCAATTTAATTTGCAAAAGTTATGGAGAGGTCTGAGGGGTACTTCTAGTCTAAAAAGGGTGAGAACCACTGCTCTAGAACATGGCATAGACATGCCAACATGCAGCAAAATACGTATCAGTAACTTATCAGTTAAGGAGTTTTTTACCATGTTATACACCTCCAAACACAAAACATGTGGCAGAGCTATCCAGGTAACAAACTATATCAATCTTATACTTTTGACGTTCTCTTTTATACATGTGACCAGTAATCCAATTCTAACATTTAAAATGTTTAAGCTGTTTAAAAACAAACAAACAAAAACCAGTTCCTATTTCTTTATATCAACCAGTCTGAGAAAAGCAGTGCATTTTAGGTCACCGGGGAGCTGGAAATCCTTTTCCATTAAATATCAGACTTTTTATAAGCAGACAAGGTTCTTTGGGTGAATCTGATATCTTTTATTAGACCAACTTAAATGCTGTTAAATGTGTACGTCCCTTTCAGAACTGAGTTGGGACTTAAGTTTGTGCTTGTGTTCTTTTGAGTGTGGTCTAGACATTCAAAAACGGGGCTGGGAATCAGAACTCTGCTACTGACTCACTATGTGGCCTCAGTCCAAGACAAAGGCAAGGTCAAGAGACAAGGCAAGAAAAAGTCAAGACATTTTCTTTAGAACAGACTTACCGCGTGCAAGGTAAGACATGCTGGGAGCAGTCTCTACACTCTGGCTCCGGAGATGCTCAGCATCTTTATTTGGCTCCTGTGGTTGTGGCACTGATGATAATGCTGAGGAAGAGGAAGCTTGCTTCGGTTTGGAATGCAAGTCATTTAGTCTCAGTAAGTTTTCAGAAGTCACAGCATCTGGGTTCACTGGAGTGGCGTGCAGTGTTGCTGGAAAGAAACTCTCTTTGCTGTCCTTTGTATGTTTCGGGGTTGTTGGCATTTCTCCTGTGGACTGTATTAAAAAAAACAAGACAGACAGTGAAGAGTGTGTTCCAGTCATCTCACATGCTACTTTTGCATTGGAAAATATGGACAGCATGATGATTTTGTGGACTAGGCACATAACCCCTCTTTATGAGCATAAAAGCTAATTATAATACAACCTTTCCCTGAACAAGTGCATATTAATTTGCTGTACTCTACAGTATATTTAGCAAACTATCACCTTGAGCATTTGTTCATATTCAGATTTAGTTTTATTTAGCAGCTACTCGCACACACACACATGCATGTGCATGCAAAGTCCCTCACAGTGTAATTATTTCTGCTCAACTTTTTTTTTTTTTAAACCAAACATGAATTTCAGAAAAGTTCCAAATGTCTATGAAAAGAAAGCAGCTCTGTCAATTAAAAAGACTTACTGGCAAACTCTGGACTTAGGGACAGAAATTACACACACTGGTATAGGTGATCAAAAACCAGTTCAAATCTGTAATACAACAGAAGTTCAGCGCACATAAACCACTCTGAAGATGTCCGAAACCAGTTTAAGATAAGCTTGGATGGATGTAGTATCAGCCTTAACTTGAATCTGGAAGGGATCTGGGACAAATTCAATAAGCTGATTTAACTTAAATCAGTTAGCTCACAGTCCCTCGATATCCCAGGATGTTTTGCACCTCCCCTGTAACCACCCCCTCTCAGGGCAGGTGGGTTAGCCGTGACCCAAGCTGTCTGTTTCAACTGAGCAGGGAGGTGTGCTCCACTACCCCCTGGCTTGGGCGGGTTGCTGCATTTCTGGAATCAGAAGTGTATGTCTGTTCATTTGCTTATCAGTTCAATGTACGCAGCTTAGACTAACCTGTGAAGACTGAATTGATTCAGTCTCAGGCTTTTTGACTGTCTGTACTTACCAAAGAGAACAGACTGTTAGTGGTTTGGGAACTTGTGTCCTTCAAATCTCCAAATTATTAAAAGAAAATACTGTGTGATGATGTGAACAAGAGAAAAATAAATTCAAGAAGCACAGGAGAGAAGAATATATTTGTGAAACAACAAGAGATGCCTATCCCAAGATCAGCAATTGTCGATTGCTGCAGCACAGCTGAATAGTGTCAGTATCCAGCTCAGAACATTGGTCTGGATGTTCTCTTGCCTCTGCACCTTTTAATATTAAAAGTAAAACATCAGTATAAGGAGCTGGGCTCTCATCCAAAAAGCAAAATCAAGAATGCAACGCACGGCTATTTAATTATACACCCAAGAGGCAGAAGAGTAATTTAAATCTATCAAGGAATTTAAAGACAGACCAAATAAAATGAAAATCATCCTTATAATCCCCTTCAAAGTCACAGATTACACAGCCTTTGTATTCTAACTGGTCATCATTAATTAACATATATTATGTTGCAACAAATTCACTAGATGGAGGCCAAGTTGTTCAACTGTCTCATTAACCCATGGGTAGAGCCTATATAATGGATCAAGAAGAGCTGAGTTTTATTCCAAGGGCTCCATGTTATCCTAGGGCCGTGGATCTGTTGGTCTGGTGTGAAAAGCAGCTGAACTCCACTGTCAGACCCCAAAGCGAATCTAGGCTAGTGAATCAATAATACATCTGAAATTCATTACTGGGAAGCACTATTTATACACTAGACAAAGCATCTTTTAAACATATTTCTCTACTACTAGCATCTCTATTTCAAGGATCAGACTCAGTATTTAAGGAATATGACTTAAAATCTCAACACCAACATATTAAAAAAAGCTATATATTTACACAATAATTGCAGTAGTATATCAGACAGAGCTTATTCCACCTCTTCTAGTGACCAATTTCTGATGGTTAGGTAGAAGAAAAAAACCCATGATTTGCTGTTATGTAATACTGTAACAGACCAAATTTAAACATTCATACCATGCCCCAAATTCTGAAACTGCTCAAATGAGGTCTCTTCACTTAAACAGATGAAAATGTTAGCACTACAGTCAAAGGCATTCAGAGACTTAAAAAAACCCCAACTGCATTATTAGTAATAAATAAGGAAAGGAAAGAACAGAATTACAAGATTTGGAGACATGTAAGAAAAGACAACAAGGGGAGAGAGAAAACAAGAAAAAGGCAGATGGAAGGACAGTCACAGTTGGGGATCGGCATGCAGCCCAAGGACAGGACTCAAAATGCACCCACATGCTGGGCCAAACTGACAGCTGATTAATCCAAAGTCAGTAACACCCATTCATTTTATTGGTGGTCAGAGTCTGTCAGGGCTACCTTGCGAGAATGTGGGCATGCAATGACATGAACAGAAGCATGGTTTTAAATGCATGTGGACCAAAACATGTAACAGCAGAAAATATTTAAATATGGCAGCCACCGTCTTGACTAGAACTTGTGCACTATTAACAACTAAGACTCAAATTCCTAACAGATAAAGTGTGGGCCCTTCACTTGAGAGTGATAATTAAATCTTTGCTTGAGGCTTTAGGTAATGCATCCAATAATCAGTTCTTATCACAGGGCAATCTTTTGAAATACATCTGCTTGCAGTGCAGGGGTAGAAGTGCATCAGCATATAGTCTTGTCTTGTCTTAGAATTGATTTAATAATTTTATTCACTTTTCTACAAGTTTAACCTTTACTTTAAAAAGTTTCTCATTCTTGCATCTTCCAATTGTAACCTGATGCAGGACTATTTAATTGACTCTGGAGGTACAGACAGATCTCCTTTAAACCAACAAAAACTGAAAATAGAGGTAGTAGCAGAAGACAACTATGGCGACTTTCCTCTGTTAATGCCAATGAGGGCAGAGGACCGTCTTCAAAACAAAGACAAAGCATAAAAAGTATCTTAGCCGTATCATGACGAACCTTGCCATTCCACAGCTTCCTGAGAGAAGCTGAAATCTGCACTGTGCATTTTATTGACTGGGCGGGGCAGGGAGTTTCAGAAAGATCAAAATTAAATAAACAGGAAGGTGAAAGAAGCAGAAAGTATAATATGCATGAAGGATGCACTGCTTGCTTTAAAAAGATTTGGTTTTCACTGTAGAGACAAGAATTCTGGCACTTCTATAACAATAACTTATGTCACTTGCACAATGCAGGTGTGCAGGTTCTCACCAACTATAATATTCATCATGGTTTATGGAGCCACATCTCTTCTTGTATCATGCAGGTGACTGACTAGGAGCAAAATAGAGTGGTCTATCACATTTTGTCAAACCTTGAAGTCACCACAGACATAGTTGGAAGTTCACTGAAACCACTGAAAGTTTATCAATTTTCATAGCTGGTAACATCCTGGTACAATAAATATCCAAGTACACTAACAAGAATAAAGAGACACTCAGGAGGGAGCCATGAAGAAAACAGTTTTACACAGACCCCCACTCCCCATATCATCAGGAAAGTATCAATGACATTTTGCATGTGTGAATTACATAACTGTTGTCTTCCTAGGTCTTAAACTACTTTCCCCTTCTCATACTCCATAGAAAACAGAATTAGTGTCAAGATTCCACATTTATTTCAAATGGTTTCTGAGAAGAAATATGAGCTATTTTATTGTGGTACAAAGAGCCAGTACTCTAAAAATTTCTTCTCTGTTCCACCACAGGATGTACACTTGCCCATTTTCACCACTGTTTTTAAAATGCAGGTAAAGACGTTTTACTTTGTTCAGAGGCTTTAAAAAGCCATATGGGTAAGGGCAGCAAAGGGAATGTGTTTAAATGCAGAAGCCAGACACATTACAGGGTCAGGTTCCTTTCCCCTGGCAAATTTCAGGTTCAGAATCACCCAGGTAGGAACGGTCTGGGCTCTACTGTATTATGGTGATAAGGGTGCCAGAAATAGATGCACAGAATTGAAATGGGGGAGGAACACCCTTCCCCCAAAGAGATTTCTGTTGGGAACCACTGTTTTCCCCAGCCGAGACAAGGGGCTCCAGGGGGCAGCTCTGACCCAGCTCAACGTGCTGCACAGTGGCTGGCTGGGGCATGAGGGTGCTTCAGTGCAGGGCTAGCCAACAGGCAGCCCCTGCACTGAAGCACCCTCATGCCCCAGCCAGGGCAGTGTCTACATGTGGAGTGAGTTTTTTTAACTCACAAAAGGATAGTACTAGTATCTACAAGTACTAATGTGCTGCAAAGTAAATTAGTGTACTCCAGCCTAATAGTGGCATACATGTACATGCATGACACTTACTGCACAGCTAATTAGTCTACTGCTCAGTAAACATCTCTGTGTAGATGCTGTGTGTAGTAAATGAGGGAATCTAATGCAACTCAGACTGTGAAGTCCTTACATATAATTCCTCCTTCCTCTTATGCTCTTCTAAGGCTTAGCTA